CCTCTGTTGGTGAGAGCAGCCGCGGGAGGTGGGATGCGCTGCCTGCCCTCCCGCCTGCCAGGGAGCCTGGGGTGGTCGGAAGGGCCCGGGTGGGGGTCCCCGCGGTGGGAGGGGATGAGATGGGGTGTGGGGGGATAGTGCGGGCCGGGGTGTGCTTGTGCCAGTCCCAGCTGTTCCCATCCCTTTCCCGGGGCCCGGGGTGCTGGGGGCAGCCGCACCAAGGGGCTGGAAGGCACCCGGTCCGGCCCAGGAGCCGCCTCCTGCCCTCCCACCACCTCCTCCCGAGCAAACTGGTGCTGCCGTCGTGGGGCTGGGAGGCTCACCTGGGGAGTCACCTGGGGACTCATCTGGGTACTCACCTGCTTTCGGGCCAGTCTGGTGGCAGCAAGTGCTGCTCTAGCTCCTGTGGAAGGATGCTTGAAGTCAGGTGAGCACTGGTGGGTGCAGATCCAAGGGTCTTCTGCAGCTCAGCTTTCCCCTGGACAAGGAGGAATGCCTGATGTCCCTGCCCTGGGAACCCTCTGAATCCTGCACCGTCTCACTCCCAGTTCTCCTCTGGGGCTGGTGTCTGCTGTTCTGCCATAGCCAGGGTCTGGATGTGGTGCTGCAGGCTGGGGCAGGCAGGGCAGCCTTTGCCCTGCTGGTCTGAGTGGCTGTGGTTGGCACAGGAGTGTGGCTCCGCTCACCTGGAGCTGGTACAGCCCCTCAGCCCTGGCAGGGGCTGCTCCTGCAGGCTGGCCCTGGGCACCAGCTCTGTGCCTCCTGCTGGAGCAGGATGGGGAGCTGAGGAGGGAAGGGATGCAATTCACAGCTCCCATTGCAGAGCTGATGGCCCTGGCTGGAGGTGCAGACAGCAGGAGCTGGGCTCTGGCTTTCTGGGCCTCAGCATCCCTGCTGCACCAGCACCCAGCACAGGGTCCCCACAGCTGCTCAGCGGCTCAGACTGAGGTGGCCCCGAGTGACAGAGTGAGCTGTGGTCCTGCAGCGTGGGCACAGGCCTGTCCCCTCACACCTCTTGCCTGCTGCAGCCGTCAGCAACCACCTTCTGCTGCCAGCCCACCCGGGGGGAGCGGCGGGAAGCCCTGGGCAGGACTGCAGCAGCCCCCACTCAGCTCCCCCCTCACCCAGGGCTGCAGGTGAGGGGTGTAGTGTGGGGTGAGAGGAGCTCAGGCAAGGGAGGGATGGCCCCACAGTGGCTGTGGAAGAAGCCCTACAAGCAATGAGGTTTGGCCACCTTGGAGCAGAGCAATGCTGAGGGAGGTTTCCCTGTGGAGCAGCCGGGGGAGGCAGGGAGGGTGTGAACACGTGGAAACACCAGCGCCAAGAATAACTGGGGTGAACATGTGTGTTGGTGGGACCCTGAGCTGTGATCAGGGGTGCCTGTGCCATCGGGAGGCCAGGCATGGCTGTGGGTGGGTTTGGGGATTGGGTGCCTGTCTCCATCCCCTGCCCTGATCTCTCTCCCACAGGACAGTGGTGTTATGACTCGCAGGACCCCAAATGTGGTGAGTGGTGCCAAGTGTGGGGCAAGGGTGTCGGGGCTGTGTGGGGCTGTGGTGCCCATGTCTCCCCACAGCATGCAGATGAGGGCAGCCTGGGTAACTTCACTGGGCGGGTGGAGGGGGGGATGACTTGGAAAAGGGCCAACTCCCCTGTGTCATAGTGAGGTGGGATGGTTAGTGGAGCTTCATGTCCAGGTTTGCTGGTGTAGACTGGAGACAAGCACCTGAGCCCCTTGGAAAGGCTTGACCCCGGCCCCTAACCTGGTCTGGATGCTCCTAGGGCAGCACCGTCCTCCCCCCTTTCATTCAAAAATAAAATCCCATATTTATAATACTCTGTTAGCAACCCCAGTACAGGCACCTGAGGGGACGTGGGGCACGAGGAGGGGACAGCTCCGTTGGGGCAGGCAGCAAGTCCTGCCTGCCTGTGCTGGGAGGGGAAGCATGGCTAGGGGCACTTTGTCTCAAAGCATGCAAATAGCTTGTAAAAGGTTAATTAAGGGAGCAATGAGCATTTAATCAGCTGTTACGGCCCAGCTGTTTTATAGCCCTTGGGTGCACAGCCCTGTGCCCAGCACCGGGGCACAGCAGCCGTGACTGGTGAATCGCTGCGCTCATCCCTGCTGGAGCAACGCTCAGCAGCTGAACCTCCTCAGGGCACTGGAGAGGGCAGGTTTTGCTAGGGGAGCAGGGCCAGAGGGAAGCAGCTTGGGCAGTGTGGTGCTGACCGTGTGCCCAGCAGGGCCACTGGGAATAGTCCCTTAATGAAAGCACTGGGTAATTTCTGAGGCCACCAGGTAGCACCGTGCTGGGGAGTCAGCAAGGCAGTGGCACGGCCAGGCTGCAGCTCCAGGGGTTTCCAGGCAAAAGGCTGCCTGGAGTAATCAGAGGACAATGGAAGGAGATAAAGCTGAGCCTGGCAGGCAGGAGGTGGGAGTGAGCCTGTGTCTGGTTCTGTCTGCCCAAGAGGAAGTAGGCAAAGGTGAGAGCTGGGCCATGGGGTGCTGCTGCATCTCCATCCAGCTCCTTCCATAGTGACCCCCCAGCCTCGGAGCTGGCAAGAGGCATGGTGTGGTCACACTGGACCCCCTGTGGGATCTGTCCCAGGGTGAGTTGTTTGGCCAGGATGCATTGTTACCTGCCACAGCTGGGCAAGACCAGCCTGGGTAAGCTAAACCATGGTAAAACCCAGTGTGTTCAGTGAATGGGCCTTAAGTTCTCCAACACCTCCTGTCTATCCTTCCCTCACAGGCTTTATATGGGGCACCTTGCTCCCTTTGCACAGGCCAACCCAATTCCCAGCCCAGGGGCTGTGGGAAGGACAGGGGCCAGCACAGCCTTGCAGAGGGGGTTTCTTGCAGGGGAAGGCAGAAGCAGCCTGCCCTTCACCAGCAGTTGTGTGGAGGGACGGATGCTGCTGCCAGGCTAAATATAGCCCCTGTCCCCGCAAGGAAAT